ACCTAGAAGAATTTAGGGTCTTGTCTATAGGTAGATAATAAGAACTCAGAAACAATGTACAGAGTTACAATCTAATAACAGGTATATTATAGCTTTTCTTGAAAAACATTGCTTTTTTTTCTCTACATTATCATATAGGAATTTCAGATTTAAAAACCTCTTGAGCACTTTGGGAGGCTGAGCAGAATTGCTTTAGGCCAGGAGTTTGAGACCAGCCCTGGTAACATAGCAATACCTCATCTCTACAAAAACTCCTTGAGGATAAGAAGCCAAACCAAGGCAGACTTTAGATTTTGCTTATAGTCTTAAGGTTCCTAGGCCTGCCAAAAAGCAACAGTTTTTATTTACTCATTGTAAGGCTGAGAACCCTTGAAGTCAGGCATTTTATGCAGATTTGCAAGTAGAATATTTTGGTCAAAGCCTTGGGAGTATAACCAATGTTTTCAATTGTATTCTGCTATAAAGAGAGCAGATTTTTATTGAATTTATGCAATTGACCATATAGCTGTAAAAATATTCACAAATAATTTTTAACTCTGGGGAATCAAGTAAGGAGAAAACAACCAAAAACAAATGCTTTTATCTTTGTTTACAAAAGTATACTTTACCAAATTGCTATAAATTATAGATAGCTTAAGAGAGAATTTTCTTAAATCTGTAAAACAAAAACTTTGAGTAAAGGGCCAATGTTTCAAGTAAAAGTCATAAAAACATTACCTTCATCAGTTATTCAAGTTCATGTAATCAACTTTTATTCTGCCTGACCTCCATTAATAGTTCCATGAATCCATCAGTTTCTTTATTTCAAGTTCTGGAATTTTTTTTTAGTCCATTGATCTGAAAGGTATCAGAAACTCACCTTTCCTAAGCTGCTCCCATAGGCTTGTAAGCAAGATGGAAATAAGATTGATAGAAAGTAAACATTAGTTTCCCCCTCAAAAAACAAAACAAAACAAAAAACAAAAACCTATTAGAACCCTGTATTTAAGAGTACTTTTTACAGTCTTTTCCAAGAATCTAATTGTAAATATTTTTAGAGAAGGACTCAAAATGATAACTGTGGATGACAAAAACTTAGAATAGCCATGGTTAAAAATCTGATAAAAGTTTATAATTAACAGAAAATTTAGTTATTTTTATCACATATATTTCCATTATATTGCATTTTATAGCATTTATTCCATTTATAATTACCTAATTTACTTATTTTAACAACTATCTAGATTACTTGTGAAAATTAAGATATTAGACTAGTCATTATTTCAAGTCTTTTTAATTAGCCAATTTTATAGGCTGTTAATATCAGGTGTTTACTTGAGTAAGAACCTAAAAGTTAAATACACAGAAATCCTGTCAACTCAGAAGACACAGCTATTTTTATTAAATCAACAATTTTTTAAAAATTTCAAAATATTAAGGGATACAAAAGTTTTTTGTTACATGGATATATTCTATAATGCTGAAACTGGGGCTTTCGGTGTGACCACCACCAAGACAGTGTTCATTGTACCCAACAGGTAAGTTTTTATCCCTCACTCCACTTCCACCCTCCCCTCTACTTAGTTTTCAATGTCCTTTACATCTTTTCATGCCCATGTGTACCCATCATTTAGCTCCCACTTATACTGAGAAAATGTGGTTTTCAACCACTTCCAGTTCCATCCGAGTTAATGCAAATGACATTATTTCATTCCTTTTTATGGCTGTGTAGTACTCCATGGTACATATAGAAATTTGTGTATGTATATACACATGACACATTTTATTTATCCACTCATGTATTTATGGGCACTTAGGTTGATTTCATATCTTTGCAATTGGGAATTGTGCTGCGATAAACATTCAAACGCAGGTGTCTTGATAAAATTACTTCTTTTCCTTTGGGTAGAGACCCAATGGTGGGATTGCTGGATCAAATGGTAGGTCTATTTTTAGCTCTTTGAGGAATCTCTATACTGTGTTCCATAAAGGTTGTACCAATTTGCAGCCCCACCAACAGTGCAAAGAGCAGTCTCCATTTGTTTTTTGTTTGTTTGTTTGTTTGTTTTTTGTACGCGAATGTTCACAGCAGCTTTATTTAAAATAACCGAAAACTGGAAACAATCCAGATGTCCTTCATCGGGACGAGTATACCATGATATACCACTCAGCAGTAAAAATGAATGATCTACTGACACATGAATCAACCTGGATGAATCTCCAGAGAATTACGCTGAGTGAAAAAAAGCCAATCCCAAATGGTTACATACTGTATGATTCCATTTACACAACATTCTTGAAATGTCAAAATAATGGAGATGATCAGATAAGTGGTTTCCAGGGATAAGGGATGGTGGAGGGGAGGAGTCTGAAGGGGTAGTCCAAGGGACATCTCAGTGGCGATGAGACAGTTCTATATCGATTGTTGAGACAGTTACATAAATGTACATGTGACAAAATGATGTAGAACTATACACCCACATTGCACAGGGGTCAAGGGTTTGGTTCTGATACTGTATTCTAATTATGTAATATATAATCATTGAGGGAGACTGAATGAAGGGTGCATGGGACCTCTATCTTTGCAACTTCCTGTGAAATTATTTCAAAATATAAAGTTAGAGAATAAAGCAATAGCTCTAAGTGTAACTTGATATCCTGGATTGGATCCTGCAAAAGGACATTACTGGAAAAAATGGTAAAATCCAAATTAAGTCTCTAGTTTCATTAACAGTATCATGTATCATTGCGCCAATGTTAATTTTTTAGTTTGGATAAATATACCAAGGTTATGTTAACATCAGGGGAAGTTGGGTGAAAGCTCTATGAAACACTTCGGTGAATCTAAAAGCATTTTGAAAATATAAAACCCTGATGCCCAGGCTGATTAAATCAGATGCCCTAGGGACAGGCTCAGGCATCAGTATTTTAATTTGCCAGGTGATTTCCATATGCAGCCAAGGTTAGAAACCACTGTTCTGGAGAGATGATTTCAAAGTATTTGTTTCCCTCCTGGGTTTGCTCTTAGAGTGCTCTCCTTGAGGACAATTTCTGAACAGAAAAAAAAAAAAATTTTTTTAACCTTTATATAAACAGTTTATTTACTCTAAACAGCAACACAGACAGAACGCCATAGAAACACAAAGGAAGTGATGCGGTCAGACGCGCTGGCTTCGGACCTGAGGTTGGAGAGCGACACGCCCCAGATTCCGGAGAACAAGGCGGGAGGCCGTGTGGTTTTTTTCCCTGTACAAGCGTAACTTTTTCTCTGCATCCATGCCAGCATCTATTGGTTTTTGACTTTTTAATAATGCCATTCTCACAGGGGTAAGGTGGTATAAAGATCATTTTGTTTTAGGCTGGCCCTTTTAGTTTTTAGTGGGCTTTTCAGCTGGATCTAGAAACCAAATTGACAGCAGGCAGATTAACAAGAGAAAAATATACAAATTAGTTTTTTTTAAAGACTTTAAGTCACAGAAACTAAAAAAAATTAAGTTAATTACTATATATATGTTTATGAGTGCTCATTTATTTAAACCAATCACCAAAAAAATTTCTTAAGGGATTTCTGGTTGACTGCGCTGGATTTTATAAAGTCCGTGATCCAGGTTTTGGGCAAAGCAGTGTGAGTCAGTTACCAACACGCCGGATTGGAGGAAGTGCGTTCTGTGAGCCCCACGTAATTACAGGAGGAGGCGCCTGCACTAGGGGCGGGGTCTCTGGGAAAATCATTAGGCTTCCAGACTCCCCTGGCTCATCACTTACCGCTGTGACTCATAGCAGACCGGCGACATCGAACATGCTGTACGTACCTGGAAGGAGAGAGAGAGCTTGGGCTGACTGCAAGCCGAGCGTCACGCTGCCACTAAGACACGGCTGCCGACTGCGGGCACGAACGGTAAAGCACTTGCGGTCTCGGAGACCGGGAGGGCCAAGGCTTGGAGGGCGGTTGTGCTTGGGAGATGTGCTGGCACCGGGACCTGGGACTCCCAAGTGAGCCGAGGCTCCAAGCTTCCCTGGCAGACCTTCCCGAGGCCCCCGCGCTAGGCTACTTAGAGATGGAATCGCGCCGAGGGATGCCAAAGACGGAAAGGGGGATGGGGGAAGACAGAATTTTTCTTGTATGCCACATAAATGCATTGTCTGACCATTATAACATTCAAATGTTTTCAAATGCTTTTAGGAATTTGTTTTGAAAATTTATAGGATTTGTACTAAGAGCATCGCCCAGGCTGGATGGAGTGCATTCGCGTGTTCGTAGCTCGGTCACCCCGGTCTCCTGGGCTCAAACGTTCCTGCCTCTTCCTGAAGCCGCCACTACACACCAGGGCTAATTTTTTTTTTTTTTTTAAATGCATAGAGACAGAGGAGCTTCGTTCTGTCTCACTGCAGCCTCAATCTCCTGGGTTCAAGCGATCCTCCTGCCTCACCCTTCTGGGTAGCTGGGACCATAGGTGCCCGTCACCATGCCTGGCTAATTTTAGAAAAAAAATATTTTTTGGCCAGGCCGTGGTGGCTCACGCCTGTAATCCTAGGACTCTGGAAGGCTGAGGCGAGAGGATTGCCTGAGCTCAGGAGTTCGAGACCAGCCTGAGCAAGAGTGAGACCGCGTCTCTACTAGAAAAAAAAAAGAAAGAAATTAGCTGGACAACTAAAAATATATAGAAAAAATTATCCGGGCGTGGTGGCGCATGCCTGTAGTCCCAGCTACTCGGGACGCTGAAGCGGTACGATCCCTTGAGCCCAGGAGTTTGAGGCTGCTGTGAGCTAGGCTGAACCACGAACTCTAGCCCCAGTAACAGAGCGAGACTCTGTCTCAATAAAAAAAAACCCAAAACGCACCCTGTTTGTGTCGCAGGGTAAACTTTCCCCAGAGTCCCAGTGGAACAGCTGGTCTAGGAGACGCTTTCATAGCACTACAGATTAAAATTCCCATCTCTCTTTCTTCCTTCCCAGGCTTCTCCTGGCGCCAGCTAAGCGCCAGAGAACTTGCACGCACGTCTCCCTTCCGGTTCCCAACGATGGGCAATTCCAGCTTTGGTCCCAAGGAATCACTACTGCAGAGGCTGGGGCTTCGGCCCCCGCTGTTTACCATACACACCTCCCTGCCCCGCCAGGGAAGCGGAGATTACCGTGTGGTGGTAGCTGGCTCCGCTGGCGTGGGTAAGAGCGCGCTGATGCAGAGGTGGGCACACGGCACCTTTCGTAATGCACGCCTGCCATCCATTGAAAATAATTACTGCAAGTTGCTGGGCTGCAACCATGGCGTGACTGCCCTGCACATAGCTGACAGCGCAGGTGGGCACCCCTGCCCTCCCCTGCAGCGTCTTGCAGTTACCGAGGGCCACGCCTTCATCCTGATCTACTCAGTCACCAAGAAGGAAACCCTGGAAGAGCTGAAGCCCTTCTATGAGCTGATCTGTAAGATCAAAGGTGATGACTTGCATAAATTCCCCATCCTGCTGGTGGGCAACAAGAGTGATGAGAACTGCCGGGAGGTGGCCCTGAGTGATGGCGCCACCTGTGCGTTGGAGTGGAATTGCGCCTTCATGGAGATCTCCGCCAAGATGGATGTGAATGTGCAGGAGCTGTTCCACACGCTGCTGACCCATAAAAAGAAGCACAATACTTGCCTCCAGGGTCCCCAGAAGAAATCTCAGATGCCTCATACTACCGAGAAGCTGCTTGACAAATGTAGCTTGATGTGAGCCTTGGGCCTCAGGAGCTAGATCTGCCTATCCTATAGTGCATAGAAAACATGGGCTGATGTGTGTTACCCGCACATGATGCGTGTGTATTTGTGTGTGTACGCACGCAGTGGTTTAGACAGTAACAACTAGATGAAAATAAATGTAACTTTTATTTTTCTCAGGCAAGAGAATCCAAATTGTTAAAACATTGATTGGCATTTGAGAACAAAAAAGTACCACGATGCATTTAAAATAAGATCTTTAATAGTAAATTTGATAAGAGAAAATGTTTTGAAAAGAATAAAACACCAAAATGAATTGAAAAATGCCACAGCCCTTTGGGTAACCCTATTATATTTATTTTTAAACATTTCGACTCCTATAAGTGTTTAATAATGACTTTTCATTGTGTATTTAATAGTTAAGAAATGTGTTTTCACAACAAACTCTGACAAATTGCTGTGAGACAGATACACTAAGGAAACAAAGAATATTCTATAGCTGACCACTGGGGGTAGGAGCAGAGAAAATTGTGAAAGTGGAACTCTCTCACCAAAGATGTGTTGTCGTTTCCTGTGTCATTTAAAAATGTCTGGGTATTTCACATAGCAGTTTTAATAGTGTAACAGTTCCTTGACTTAATAAAGCTTTTCCTGCATGCAATCAGCTGTAAGAATTTTTCTTACCAGACAATAACAAAATTGCCCATTACATTAAAATTTAAGCCACATCTGTTAAATGTTTCCAATAAGAACTCCAAACCTGGACATTCTTGCCCTCTTGAAATTAGCTAGTGGTGGAGGGCGCTGTCTAAGGGGGTCCCTGAAATGCAAAACTGTTGTATATCCATAACCTTTCCTGGACTGACGTCCAGAAGAACTGCAGGCATCTTTCAAGAGGATACTCACTGCGTTGCTGTCTCAGAGGAAGCAGGTAAAAAGCAAAGCTCAGCCTTCTGTTGTCTCAAAAGTCTTTCCTCAAGAAATATTGGATATAGGGAATGGCGAGGAGGATGGAAGGTAAGGGGAGGGAGAAATGGGTGGGATTTGAAATTTGAGAAACTCCCCCATGAAGGAGTTTTTTAAAAAGATTAATTTTATTTGAACATAATTTTTTTGAGTGAGGAAATACTGTAACGGAGTCCAAGTCATACCACTCGCTGCAGGACAGCCAATAAGTAGAGAGACAAGGTGTTGGGGCAAGGAAAGTGACTTTTATTCAGAGAGCTAGCAAACCAGGAAGATGGCAGACTAATGTCTTACATATTTTAAGTTAGTATGAACTTTAGACTTCTTTTCAACTTAAGGGAAGGATGATGGGGGTTGGGGGGTTGTGAGAGGTAGCCAAGCACTGCAGACATCTGGGTGTCAGTGAGGGTCTGAGGAAGCTGTAAAACTTCTTTGTTCTTGGTCAGTTAACTTTGGATGAACAGGGCAGGTCACCATGTTCCTATAAATCTTTATCATAGCATTGTTACTTGTGCATGTACTGTTTTTATTAATCTCCCCAGAAGTTAGTTTTGGGAAAGGGACAATTATTTTAGAGTTGAACTACAACCTAAATTCTTCCTATAATTAGCTGGCCTACAGTGCAGAGCTAAGCAGAAGCTTTTAACCTGAAAGGGGACATTACCACAGGGGTCAGAAGCAAAATGGAGCTACTTACATTAAGCCTCCCTTCCACTGTTAAAAGTTCACTCCACAATCTTGTGGAATTGGGGCAACAGGGCTTTCATCTGGCTACTTCCTGCTAGGCAAGGTCAACGAGAGGTATTAGTATGAAACTGTTCAACCTAAGGAATTACTCCCTAGTGTCCTTTGGAGCATTTCTCTTTTTGCTTCCTTGGTTGTGCTCAGACCTGTAGAGCTCATGGTTGTAGAATATATAATAAGTTTTGCTAGTAGGTATATCATCGTAACAAAAGAGTAACAGTGAGAATTTAAGAATGCCTCTCTGGATTGGCCGGATCCCACTAGGAATCCAAGAGACTAGGTCTATAAACCAGTCTCTAAGAGTGTCCAGGCTAAACTCACTTTGGTGTTCTAAGGCTTGTTGGAGCCAGGTAGCCTGTTGCCTCATCTTGTCAATATGGGTCTCTACTTTAGAGGAGGAATTAATACAAGTGTAATAGGTAGTGGTAGCCACCATATAGACTCCTCCTTGTTCTGCAAGCATATAATCTAGGGAAATGTGGTTATTAATCACAACTTTCATCAGGGAATCTAATGATTTTTGTAGACCAGCAAGAGCAGTTTCATTAGCAATATAAGTTTTTTAGTACATGTTGATGAGCAACTACACCCTACTGGGAAGTCACGGGCCACTCTGGTAAACAATTTTAGGGAACTGGTCCAGTGGGCAACCTCTGATCTGTTATGGTCTAACAAGGGGGTCACTCTGAGTCCCATGAGACATAATCTCTGGAGACTGATGTTAGGGCAAGGCCCATTGACCTTTGTGCCAACTGCATACAAAAATATATCCCAGAGGGGCACAAAACCTCCAGAGGGTCCTGTCTACAGCTGACTCATATTGAAATAATAATCATCCTGATTCATTCCTTGGTTTATTGACCTCTTAGCTCTGGTTCCATTATAAAGTTACAAATGGGAACAGGCCATGAATTGTTGGGGTTGAAGGCTTTGCATAGATTGGGAGGGCTCCCCATAGCTGTATCATTTTCTGAGGTGATATATCTGAAAATAATAGGGGGCTTAGTCTGAGAAGAGTCAGATACAATTTTTACTCCATATAGGACTTGGGGAGAAGTGAATAGGAGTAAACAGAAGTCTTGTGCCAATTTGGTGTTAATAACTGAATAGATTGTACCTGGGTCCATTGAAAAGTCAATCAGTTTGTTCCTCACCGTTAAAGGTATTCAGGGCTCCTGTGGGGAAATACAAATTGGGTGCTGGGCCTGTATCCTGCATGCTGTAAGACCATTAGCAGACTGTTTTTATCTATAGTTTTAGAGCAGTACCTTAATCCTTGCCTGGCATGTCCTTAGGTTCTGTTTGTAATCTGGTACCTTATCACAAAGAATCCATTCTATCAGTCTCATCTTTATTTTAACAGTAATGCTGGTCACTTGTTGTGCCTAAACTCTAAAAGGGAAAGAGTATAGGAGGTGTGTCTAACCTCCCTTCCCTGCATGGCTAGGAACTCAATTTAAGGTTCTTTTGGGGTCCCCCTTGGCCAAGAGGAGGTCCACTCAGTGGGACAGGGTTTAGGATTTATTCACAGTATCATAAACATCTACATCACACTAGTATAGACAGAGTTTCAAGTTTACAAAATCCATTCAGTGGCTCTTTTTAAAATAGTTATGTAAAATTTTCCCTATTTACTTCCATAGCAATTATTCTCAACCACTAGAAAATGTCAAAATGGTTCTAATCTATTACTTTTTTTGAATTCTATCCTTAAAAAAAATCTTAACTCTCTGATGGAGTAATTCCATCTCTAAAATAAAATATTCTACCTTGGCTATTTTACAGGATAATTCTCCTTGAAAAATGTTGCATTTATTGTTGCCCCTTGTAAGTGAGCGAAGGGATTACTAAGGACTTGAGTGGTGTATACTAACCTATAGAAAGGGTTACAGGTAATAGTTAAAAAGTGAGAATATTGGCCGGGCGCGGTGGCTCACGCCTGTAATCCTAGCTCTCTGGGAGGCCGAGGCAGGCGGATTGTCTGAGCTCAGGAGTTCGAAACCAGCCTGAGCAAGAGTGAGACCCTGCCTCTACTAAAATTAGAAAGAAATTAATCGGCCAACTAAAAATATATAGAAAAAATTAGCCAGGCATGGTGGCGCATGCCTGTAGTCCCAGCTACTCGGGAGGCTGGGACAGTAGGATCACTTGAGCCCAGGAGTCTGAGGTTGCTGTGAGCTAGGCTGACGCCATGGCACTCACTCTAGCCAGGGCAACAGAGTGAGACTCTGTCTCAAAAAAAAAAAAAAAAAAAGTGAGAATATTTTAAGATAGCAAATATTTATATAGTCTATCTGCATGCCAATGTTTCTATATTATAGAAAACATACAATCTGTTCTACATTATATTATTTACTCCTTACAACAATCCAATAAAGTGGATGGCCTATTTTGAAGATGGAGACACTGATAAATGGTCACAAAACTACTAAGTGGCAGAGCTAGGATTTGAAGCCAACTGTTCTGCTCCAGAATCAGTGCTCTTAACCACAATGGTATACTTCCTCTCCAAGATGAAATGAATGAATGAGCTCACTTTTCTGTTCTCTATTCATGTTATACAGAGGTGGAAACAGAAGTTTCCCCAGGGTCTCTCTAGAATCCCAGATGAGAGGCGATGAAGCAAATCAACAATTCAACATGCATAGGGTGTTTTAGAAACAGGGAAGATAAGCACTTTAACCAAGAACTTGGACAGGTTTTCCCCAAAGAGATTACATAACTGGAATCTTTTAGGTCTAGTAGGAATTGGGTTAGGTGGGCGGGTGCAGGTGATGGAAGGAGAGGAAGACCTTTCAGGCAGACAGGACAGTGAACAAAGGCACGGACAAAATGTGGGGTCTGAGAGACTGTGGCATGTTTCCAGAAATGGGTAGAGCAAATTGTGGAAGATGAGCCTGAAAAGTCAGAGTTTAGAATCCATTCTTTAGAGGTAAAGGGGAATTACTACAGGATTTAGGTAGACTTGATCATATTTGAATTTTAAAAAGATCACAGGTAGACAAATTAGAAAATGATTAGAATCATCCAGGAAAGAGATTTTGAGTAAATGCTCTAGCCATTGCCAGAGGGAATGGAGACAACAGGATGGATTGGAGAACTATTCAGTAGAAGAATGGCCAGAGCTTGGCGATGTGTTAGAGTTTAGAAGAGAGGGAGAAACGAAGGTGACTGCCATGTTGCTGAGTGGAATTCCTGGGTGGGTTATGGGGTCATTAATTGCAGAAACACAGAAAGAAGATCTGACTTGGGTGAACATCTATTTGCACATGCACTTGACAATAAGTTACATTTTGAATAACATAG